TTGGGGGTGACCAGCGGGCTCCCACACGGCTCCGGGTCCCCAGAATGGACCCTCTCGGGGCACTGCCGGTACCTCTGTCCCCCGGGGAGCAGGGACGAGTGTGCAGCTGGAGAACTCCCAAGGACACGGATGGGGAGGGACGCTCTGGGCTCTCCCCCCACCCGGGGCTGGGTTAAATCCCTCAGATCCCACAAGCAGATGGTGTGAAATCCTGGCAGCAGCTCCGTGCCACAGGGGACACGGTGCCCTCGGAGGGGCCAGAGGCTGTGGGCCCATGCTGGGGGGGCTCCGGCGGGACCCCCTGGGCTGCGCAGAGCTCAGCCGCAGGGAAGCAGCCCATGGCGAGGGGCTGGTGCCTTCCCAGAGCTTTGTGTTGGCTGTGGTGGGCAGCACCCTGGTGCCCAGCATCGCTCCTTGGGTGAGGAGCAGCCTACAGAGGGGTGCAGGGGCCGGGCACCACCCAAAAGCGATGCCCTCTGCACCGGGAGGGTGCGGGGTTTGGCCTGGACCAGCAGCAGCCTTGGAGAAAAAAAAACAACAAAAAAACAACAACAAAAAAACAATCCCACACTAAAAACCAACCCTGAACGTTTCCCAGGGTGGGTCAGACAGGGAGGGATGAAGGTACCTGCGGGGTCTGGTGCCAAGTCAGGGCTCAGCACCCAAGCTCTCCTCCACCCTGGCACACATCCCAGCTCTGCTGCACCCAGGCTGCCCCAAGCCAGATCCTGGCCACAAAAATGCCAATTTCATTCCAATTTGGGCTTAAAAGGCATTTGGAGGAGTGGAGGCAAATGCTGGTGCTGAGAGATTTGGAAACAATCCTGTGTGGTCTGGTCACCTGTGGAAATGTCGGCGCAGCCAGGGTGACAGTGGGGACAAACACGCCAGCCGCACGCTGAACCCACGTGGTGACAAGGTCCCAGCGTGGAGCCAGCAGCTGCCTTGCTCCAGTAACGTGCCAAGGGGGAAACGGCACATGCCACTGCCCTGCCCCGTCACCCACAGGGGACAGACTCGAGCACAGAGACACCCCAAAGCTTGGGTGGAGCCCTGCCCAGCACCCAGGGGCTGCGGAGAATGTGGGAAGGGGGGCGAGAAGCCCCAGCTGGCTGCTGACTCTGAAAAGGTATGAAAACATCAGGTCTGTCTCCAGTGCTGAGGAATAGAGGCTCAGTGGCCCTCATCGCCCGTGTCACACGCGTGACCCCATCCACAGCGCTTGGGCACATATATGGGTGACCAAAACTGGTGACGTCTCCAGTAAAAACTCCTTCCATGGGCTCCTGAACTGGGCCAGACTGGGCTGCAGATGGGGCTCCCCGCTCCAGCTGTGTCCCCAAGCACCAGAGCCCTGGGGTCACCCAGCCGGCCGCAGCAGCAGCTTTAGGGACTAAGAGGATTGAGCCTGAGGCTTGGGTCGAGGGGAAAAGCCCCGTCAGCAGGATGCCAGTCCCCACGGCGCAGCAGGAGCCTGCCAGCCCCTCTCCTGGGCAGCACCATTGGGGCTCCTGGGGCACCCCCCAGGCAATGTCTGTCCTCCTCTTCGGGCTGGGGGACCCATACCATCAGGGAGCTCACCCCATGCTCTCTCCTCCCATTACGGTTGGAGTCAATCATCTTAAAGGTCTTTTCCAACCCACATGATTCTGTTCTACGATTTTATTCCAGCAGCCCTGGGGCTCCCTGCCACAGCCCATGGGGACCCCACATCTGGGCAAGGACTAAATCCCAGCTTGACTGGCACAGGAGCTCCCACCACCAGCACTTTATTCCCTGCCAGCTCCCTGGTGCCCACACTGGGCTGCCCAGGGCAGGTCTGGTCTGGGTGCTGGCTGATGGCAGCAGACACCAGCCTCAGCCGTCCCCGGACCGGTTAAATGCAGGGGAAAGTCTGGGCAGGCTCTGCCTCACCCTGTAAGCCTTTTTCCCTGCAGAAAGAAAAAGCACAGCCAAATCTTCCAAACTTTGCCATGAAACAACCCCATCCCAGGGCAAAGGCTGCCACGAGCGCAGCCCTGGCCTGCCCCGACAGGAGAGGCCAAACCCACAGCAGCTCCTCCACTGCAGAGGCAAGGAGTGACCCAGCTCGGCACCAGCACCAACAGCGATTCCAAGGCATTGCAGCGCTACAACCGACGAGAGTCAGAGCCCAAAGCCAGCCCCGATCCCCCCAGCAAAGCTCAGGCAGGGAAAGTGGATCTGTTTCACACCGAGCCACCACAGCAGCAGAAGCCCAGAGCAGCCCCCAGGCCCCGCGTTGCAGCAACAGGCTCCAACACGCAGAGCGGAGCCCACCCAGTCCAAGCCTCGAGCCAGGCTGAGGGCAGGCAGTGCTGATCCTGGCAGGGAAAAAGGGGCAGATCCAGGAAACGGGAGGTGATGGGGAGGAGGGGGGGGGGAAGCAACAGCTCAGCCTGGATTTGGAAGGAAAAGGTGGTTGTAATTGTGCCAGAGAGCAAATCTAGTTCCTCTGCCGCAGCAAGGCGCTGATCCATGATGGTGGAGGCGGCCGTGAAAGCGCGGCTGAGGGGGTGCGGGAGGCAGCGCGCCCAGCCCGTGTCCCCCAGCTGGGGCTCAGGTAGAGGCCTGCAGCTTGGCGAGCCCGTCGGCGTACTGGAACTGGGTGCCGTTCTCATACTCATACATGTCCAGCGCCACCTCACAGCTCTCCCGCACCACCCGCTCCTCATCGCAGGCAAAGGCACGCAGGGTCTCCAGGCAGGAGGGGCGGGCGATTGAGCCCAGGGCCTC